CCCAAAATGGCATCCAGCCAATCACCCTCTCCTGAGGATGTTTGAACTGGAGTCACTAATCTGGTGCTGGTCTGCTCCACTGGTCCATTTCTCCATGAAAGCCTGTAGTTTCCCCCACTGTTTCCACACCTCTATAGGCTTGAGCCTCCTCTCATGCTGCTAGCTGGGAATCTCTGATTTTGTCTTGAAGTCTTATCTGAAGCTTTGTTACAGATAACTATTCTTGCTTGCTTTTAGATTCCAGTTTCTTGGAATATCATTTCTCATCCCCCTTTGTTTTTTTTTGGGGGGGGATGTTCTTGGTAAGTTGTCCAGGTTGGACTTAAAATCCTCCTGCCTCAGACCCCAGAATGCCCAAATTATGGGCATACATCGCTATGCCCAGCTTCATTATTCTTCCTTAACTTTCAGTCTGTATGTCTTTATCATGGGGTTATGTTTCTTGCAGACAACAAATAGTTGGATCTTCTTTTTAAATTCAGGCAGTCATTCAGTAGGTCTTAATTGGATAATTAATACCATTTACTTTCAGGGTTATTGAAAGATATACCTTAATTGTTATTTTCTTGTTCTTCAAAATATTGTGTTTTTTTTCTTTTTCCTTCATTCACATTAGTGATTTGATGATTTATTAATAGTGTTTCTTTCCTAATTCTCATTTGCTTGTCCACTATCCTAGTGAAATTTATTCTTTCTTGAGTTTGTGTGATTCTGTTACTCTTTTTTCCTCTCTGAATAGGATTTGTTTAAGTATCTTTTGCAATGGTGGCTTAAAGGTTATGAATTCCTTTAGTTTATGGTTATCTTAGGAGGTCTTCATTCTTTTTTATTCTAAAGGATAGGTTTGCAAGATATAGTGATCTAAATTGACAGTTTTCTTTCATGGCTTGAAATTCATCATTGTACACCCTCCTATAGGATTTCTGCTGAAAAATCTTGTTATTTTGATGAAGTTGCCTTTCTAAGGAATATGGTATTTTCGTCATGCAGTTTTTAGTATTCTTTCTATGTTCTCTACTCTTGGCAGCTTAACTATAATATAGTATAGAAAGGTTCTTTTCTGGTCATATCTGTTTGGGGTTGTACCTGTTTCCTGTACTTGGATGACTTTTCCTGTTGTTGTGGTGATGGTGGTGGTGGGATTTCTGTTATTCATTTGCCAAGTAGGTTTCCTATGACTTTAGCCTGCTGTCTTACTGTACACTTACTCCTTTATCTAAACCTTTTGTGTGTCTCTGTGTGTGTGTTACTGGGGATTGAACTCAGGGCCTTTTTACTGAACTACATAACTACATCCCCAAATTCCTTTTCCCCAGAAACAGGGTCTTGTTAAGTTGCTAAACTGTGCAGGCTGGGCTTGAATGTGTGATCCTCCTGTCGCAGTTTCCCAAAGTGATGGGATTGTGATCACGCGTTAACCACACCTGGGTATACCTATTCTTTTTCTTTTAATTTTTTATTAGTATGTATGTAGTACATAATGATTACATTCATTGTAGGGAATTGGTACATGTACGTAACATATCTCAATTCTTTTTTCCCATTCTTCTCTATCCCCCCTTTTGCCAGCATCAAATTCATTTATTCATCTTATAAGTCCTTATATGGTGAATTATCACATATACAGATCAGTAGCCAGACTAATCAGCGAAAAACCATAGGAAGAGCTGGGGATTTAGCTCAGCAGTGCTGTGCTTGCCTTATAAGCCCAAGGTCTTGAGTTTGATCCCTGGTACTGGTTTAAAAAAAAAACAAAACTATAAAACATATAAGACAATTATACCAAATCAAGGTACATTTTTAGATACATTGTCCATGGAGTTACAATAACTTTCTCTTTTCCTATAGTCTTTTATTTTGCACTTTATTTATATATTGAGTTTGTCATGTAAGAGAAAGCATGTGATATTTAAGCTTCTGTGTCTGATTTACTTTGCTTAACATTATGGTCTCAAGGTGCATCCATTTTCATACAGATGACTCAAGTTTATCCTTTTTGGCAGTACTCTGCTGTGTATAAATACCACATTTTCTTTATCCATTCACGGATAAACTTGATGGACATATAGATTGTTTCCAAGATTTAGCTATTATAAATTGTGCTGCTATAAACATGGGTGTGCATACATCACTGTGGTATGATGTCTTTGACTCTTTTAGGAAGATACCTAGAAGAGTAATAGCTGGGTCAAATGAAATTTCTACTTTTAGCTTTTTGAGGAGTCTCCATATATTTCTGTAGTGGTTGTACCAGTTTATATCCCTATCAACAATGAAGAAAGGTTCCTTTTTCCTCCTGCAGAGTCTCTAGCATTTGTTATCAGTTGATTTCTTTTTGGAGTGAGATGGAATCTTGTGTTGTTTTAATTTGCATTTCTCCAGTGACCAATGATGTTGAACATTTTTTTCATGTATTGGCCATCTGTACTTCTTGATTGAAGAAATGTCTGTACATTTCAGATGCCCATTTTTGATTGAGTTTTTTAATTTGAGGGGGCTAATTTTTTTGAGTTCATATATTCTCGATATTCATTTTTTTTTTTTTGAGTAGTACTGTCACATTTTTTTCCCCATTCTGTAGTCTCTTTACTCCGTTGGTAGTTTCCTTTGCTGTGCAGAAGCTTTTTAATTAGATGTTATCTCACTTGTTGATTCTTGATTTTTTTGTGTGCAATGGGTTTGGTACAAAAAGTCTTTGCCTACAGCTATGTCTTCAATAATTTTTACCTATTTTATCTCCCAGCAGATTCTATTTTAATACTTAGAAATTTGACCATTTTGATTTTAGTTTAGTGCACAGTGAGAGAGATGGTTTTAGGTTTAATCTTCTGCTGTTGATAGCCATTTTTCTCAATACCATATTTTAAACAGGCTATGTTTTCTCCACCAAAAGTACAGTAAGTTCTCAACTTACAAACATTTGAGTTGCAAACTTTCACTGACATGAATGGATCTTGCATTTTAAACATTCATAGATGTGAACAAATTATGAAAGTAGCTCACATGTATGCTGGACATTGTCCACAGTTGTGCTGCTGTATGCCAACTGTACAGTGCAATATAGTACAGTACAATCAGTGACTTACTGTATTTTTGCATGTGTGTTTGATTTTTTTAATGCTTTACATTGTATATTTGTGTCAAAGGTATATAAGACTCACTTTGTCAGACTGACCAATGAATCCGTTAAGTACATTCTCCCAGACCAGAACTTGTTTGTAAGTCAGGGACTTACTGTATTTGGCCCCTTTGTCAAAAATAAGGTAGCTGTGAGTGTGCGTGGAGTTGTTCGTACATCTTCTATTCTGTTGATACACAAGTTGTGTTTTTTGGTGTTTTTTGTTTTTTGCCAATATGCTGTTTTTATCACTGTAGCTTTGTAGTATAGCTTGAAGTTCAGGACTGTGATACTTCTTGCCTTGTCCTTGTTGCCCAAAATTGGTTTTGCTATTTTACAATTCTGTGTCTCTTCTGGTGCCATATGAATTTTAAGATTGCTTTACCCAGTTCTGTGAGTATTGACTCACAGCCAGGTCACAACAATGCAAGTCTGGGCAGACAATCCTAAGGTGCATCTCAGCTCTGCTAATGGGCAAGTGATGGATCAGTGAAGAGGAAAAACAAACATTCCTCCCTCCACACTCCAAGTGCTCGGGGCAGGTACTACTGTTAGGAAAAGGAGCTGCTGGATGCTAAGTCTGTGCCAGATACCAGGCTGGGATCTGAACACAGCCGATCTTGCTCCTTTTCACAGAGGTCCATCTTCTAGATTTAATTGGAAGCACCTTCTCCTTCTCTTCATGTCACAGACTGTGCTTCCTACTACATAGATTTCTCCACAAACTTGTTTCTTCCCTGGGCCTATATTCTCTTCCAGGGTGTCTGCTTGCTGTGTCAGTGAGCAGAAAATGCTGTTGAATCTTGGAGATATAAAAATGCAGGAGCTTCTGATCCTTTGAGCACTGTGTTCAGACAATAGGACACTTCTTAAGATGGCTCCCAGTTGTGACACCATATGAATATGCCAGGAAATACGGGAGAAATTCTTCTGTGCCTTCTAGCTATGTAGATCTTAGACCTCCTGAATGCTCATACTGTATGTTAGTAAGGTGCCAGATTCTGTAATTCTGGAGATCTTTATGACTTTTTCCTCTTTTCCCCTGCTGGGAGCTGGGTGGCTTCCTTTCCTCATACTGTGTTGCCATACATTGTTATGGCTCTCTATTCTATTACAATTCTAAAATCCAGTATTTCTGAGTTCTTCCTGGTCCCTGACTCTCCTGTTACAAAGTGCTTTCCCATGATACCCTGACTCACTTTACCATGTAACTATATAATTGTTTTGGTTCAATTTCTCACAGGAGAATGTTGTCTCTAATATGCCAACTTCCTCCTCAAATTTTTTGTTTTAACTCAAGTATTGGTAAAATATGGCCTAGAAGCCAAATATGTTCACCATGGTTTTTGTATTTTTTAAAAGTTTGGGGAAAAAATCAAAAGAATAATATCCTGACATATATAAGTTTTATGAAATTCAAGTTTCATTTTCCATAAATATGAAACATAACCACACGCATTTGTTTACATGTTGTCTTTGGCAGCTCTTGCACTACAGTGGCAGAGCTGAATATACTGTAGAGACACTATACAGCTTATGAGGCCTAAAGTGTTTCCTGTCTACACTTTATAGGAAAGATTGTGTAACTCCTATATTAAAACTCCATGGAAATCATATGCTCTCTTTTAGTTTTTCTGTTAACTTCAGCCACAAGTTACGGAAATCATGACCGTGACTCAAACTTGCTTAAAGAATAAAAATATTACTTATTCCACTCTGACAAGCTCCAGGCATGGTACAATCATTCTTCACATCTGATATTCTTGGCATTGCATCTCATATTAGTTGTCATTGTCCTCAAGTGTCCTTTCTGCCAAGATTCTTTAAATTTGATATTTTGAGCCCCAAAAATGAAAAAATAAAACCCTCCATACACAAAGGATTGTTTGTGGAGATTGGTTTATAGTGATTTGTATAATTATGCTTTAGCAAATGTAGTTTAAAAACATGTCAATCTGATTTTTAATCACAACATCTGGTGGGTGGAGAAAATAGGCATTGTATGCAATGGTCATGTCCCAAGCATCAATGATACCCACATTGAGATCTTTGAAAATGTCCTTCATGGTAAGATATTGAATGTGTCCATGGAAGTCATCAAACCACTCACTTTCTATGGGCATTTCCCTGATATTTTCTGTTTTAATGATCACTTTAGTGGCTGGGCTTCTTAGAAATAGTCGTTCAATAGCCTTTCGGATACTGATAGCCCTACGAATGAAAATATCAATGGGGAAAGGTCTGAAGTGATGGCCAAAGGTAATGACGATGACTGTGTTTTGGTCTCCTAGTACCCGGTCAATCTCCAGAGGGATATAACCATCATCTGTCACAGAATAGAGATGAATTGTGATAAAGGGGTAGCTATGTTTTTTCCATTGAATCTGAGTATGTCTTTGAGCATCCAGAAGCAGACGTTTTGGAAAACTTCCAGTTCCATGAAGGTCAAAAAATCTCAATGCTGATAAAAAAAATAGATTTTAAAATCTAGTGCAATGATTAATATTTTTAGAAAGAATGTCTTATTTACAATACCCACCTAGAGTAATTTTGTCACCTCTAACTCCAAAGTAATGATTAATATTTATAAAAGAATATCCTATCATATACAATAACCACTTGGAATATTTGCTCAGGAGCATGCTGCTCTCTATAGTAGATTACCAGGTCATATATGTGAAATGGCAATAAAAGTGCAAAATTTCATTGGAATTTTTGCAATTGTAAAAACTTTTTATCGTGATAAATACAACAAAAATTTACTCTTTAAAGGATGTAATTCAGTGGTATTAATTAATTATATTCACAATGTTGCACAGTCATCACTGTTATTTCCAAAACTTTCTCATCATTCTAAACTAAAACTCTGTATCTGTTAAGCAGTAACTCCTCATTCCTCCATTTTTCCTAGCCCCTGATAATCTATTGTCCATTTTCTGTCTATATGTGTGTCTATTCTATATATTTCCTGGAATCATATTTATTCTTTTGTGTTTGACTTGTTTTATAGTTTAAGATTTGTCATTGTTGTAGCATGTATCAGAACATTGTTCCTGTTTTTCTATTCTTTAATTTTTTTGTGGGGCTACGGTTTCAATTCAGGCTTTCATGCATGATAAACAAGTACTCTATCACTGAAGTTACATCCCTAGCCACAGGACTTCATTTCGTTTTATGGCTGAATAATATTTTGTTGTGTGCATATACGACATTTTGTTTATCCATTCATTTGCTGATGGACACATAAATTGTTTTCACCTTTTGCTTATTTCGGACACTCCTTTATAGGTATCTATTTGAGTCTTTTCTCAGTTTTTTTGAGGTATATAATAAGTGAAATTGTTGTGTCATATGGTAATTCTATGTTTAACTTCTTGAGTAATTTCCAAACTGTTTTCCACAACAGTTCCATCACGTCACATTCCCACTAGCAATGTATAAGGGTGCTAATTTGTTCATATCCTCATCAATATTTGTTTTCTATTTTGTTGTTATAACCATGCTAGTAGATTGAAGTGGTATCTCATGTAATATTTTTCCTTATGTGTTTGTTTTTTTGATAGTGAGGATTGAACCCAGGATCTTTGCCTTTCTTAATTTTTGTTGTGGGATACATCTAACTAAATAACTAAGTGTTTTTTGAGACAAGGTCTCACTATGCAGCCCAGGGTGACCTTGAACTCCTGAGTGCTGGGATTACAGGTGTGTGCCATCCCACCCAGCTGCTAAGTTGCCCAAACTAAATTAAAATTGCCCAAACTGGGTCAAAGTTTTTATTCTCCTGCCTCAGCCTCTCAGGGTGCTGGTATTACAGGCCTGTGCCACCCTGTGGAATTTCATTTTAGTTTGATTTGCATTTCCTAATAACTAATGACTGGAGCATCTTTTCATGTGTTTGTTCGACATTTGTATATTTTTGGAGAAATGTCTATTCATGGGAATTTATAAGGAGCAACAACATTTCTTATGAAAGAGGGGAATAAAATACATGTCAAATGAAAAGATTCAAAACCAGAAAGCTAAATGAAGTGAAACACAAAATAGACCAAGTGAGAAAATAGAGGCCTCATTTAAAGTACTTTAAAATCAGCCTGAATTTCTAAACCAGTATAAAATAATTACATACTTTTTACAACATTGGGTAAGTACTCGATCCATTGACGCAGTGTAGAGTCTCCCAGGAGGTAAATGAGTTTTCCTTTCAGACAGCCATTTATCTTCATTGTATCTAACTGACTCTGGTTGCAAAATGTTGTGATCCACCTTTCTTGTAGCATGTAACCACCAGGGAAAGGAATCTTCATTCCAATTCGACATTTCTCTTTTACATTTTCATTTTCTGATAACAGAGATACTTGTGGTAAGTGGTTTAAATGGCATCAGATTAACATCTGGCCTTTTTTCTTTTTTTTTTTTTTTTGTACTGGGGTTCGAACTCGGGACCTTGTGCTTGCAAGGCAGGCACTGGAACCACTGAGGTAAATCCCCAGCAAATATACTTCGTCTCTTTTCCAATCCTTTTTTTTTTGTACTGAGGATTGAACTCGGGTCCTTGAGCTTGCACAGCAGGCGGTGAAACCACTGAGCTAAATCCCCAGCCCTCTGGCCTTTTTTTCTTTGTCCTTCCCTTCTTGATCTCTTTTCTATTCTTCTAACTCTTGTTTTTTCTGTCCTTTCCTAGTACTATTATTTTGATCACTAGCTTTAAGTCACCTTTACTCATTCTATTGAGACACTTTGAGTCATCCCCCAAATCTGGTCATTAGCTAAGTCTCAATGTTCTATTCTTTTATTGTCATCCCTAATGATTCTTTAGGGACTTAAGTCTTTTTCTAATCTGAATATTAGTGGTCTGCCAGTTGATGCTCTAATTTTCAAATTATTTATATTAATTTCATCAATAAAGGAATAATCTTATTTTCTTATTTTAATAAAGACTTTATAATATAGCATATGTACATTTCAAAAACTTCAAACAGAACTAGGTGTGGGGCCCCAAACCTGGAAATCCAGGCCTCTGTAAAACTGAAGCAGGAGGATAGCAAATTTAAGCTCAGCTGGAGCAAATTAGCAATTTAGCGAAACCCTGCCTCAAAGTAAAACATTAAAAAATGTTACTGATGTATCTCAGAGCAGAGAACCCTGGGTTCAATTCCCAGTACTGCAAAAAACTAAATAAAAGAAAGGGATAAATATAATTTTTTAAAAATTACAAAATAAGAACTTCAAACAATATATAATACCTACTGAGTTGAATTTTAAAATAGAACTTTATTGAAAGTATCATGCAGCTTGCAGCACAAACCAATATTCTGAGATATTCCAGCAAGCTCCAGTAGAATTACCAGCTCTGTTATGGTAATGTCTTCCAAAATATCCTATCTGGCAGAACATCAATTGTTTTCATAATCCTAAAATTATTTTAAAATTGTGACATAGTTTGGCTTCCAGCAGGCCTGATGGCATTGTATCTTGGATGGTTTTCTATCATGATCCTAGACATTTAAGATTCATAGTTTCTAAGTATTCTTTACCCTAATAATATACTGGCATATCTGAGAAGAAAGCCTTGAGTTTATTTGTGATTATCACACCTTGTCTAACGTGTCAGGATATTCATTTTCTTATGATTACTCTTACATGTTTAATTTTAGAATAGGTTTGATATTTTGAACCATATGTTGTTAATGGTACAAGATTTCATCATCTTTTTTTTTCTAGTTTAGAGATTATGGTAGGCAAACTAATGTTCCCCAAAGTTTTCAAATACAGTACTAATTCATCAAACCTGTAAATATGTTGCCTTCCTGGCAAAAGAGAATTTCTAGATATGACTAAGGGTATAGACTTGAGATAAAAAGATTTCCTTGAATTATCTCAGGTGAAGACAGAAGACTTCTAGCTAAACTCATTTATCCTGCAAAATGTGTAAGACAGAAGCAGAAAGATGGACCAAAAATATATAACATAAGAATTTGACTATTGTGTTTTTGGAGATGAAGAAATGTGACTATAAGGAAAGTTAGTCTTTAGAAGCTAGAAAAAGCAAATAAACAGATGTTTCCCTAGAACCTCTAAAAAGGAACGCAGCTCTACTATACTTTAACTGTAGCTCAGTGAGACTGATGTCTGGCTTCTGAATGACAAAACTGTGGTAGTACATGTTTCTTGTTTTAAGCTACTTTGTTACAATAGCAATAAGAAATTAATCTAGACAAAACCCACATCTTTTCAATATTAGGGCATCCCAACTCAAAACAGCATATTTTCTTCTATTTATATAAATTTTATTTCATACCCCTTAGTAACATTTCAGATTTTCTTTCTATAGGTCATTCTCATTTTGATCATTTGCTTTTTAAAGCACCAAGTACATATGCCACTATTTTCTTCAGTTTACCTCTGTGTTTCAGAAACCCGCCAAATAACACTGACATCCTCAACATAGCACTTGAGAACCTCCAGACTTAAGTCTTCCTCTCCTTTCAGCTTCTTCACTGGCTACATTCTACCTCATACCCATTTCATTGGTTGAGTGAAAAAGGTCCACAATAATTTTACTCATGACTACAGTTTTTGATAAAAGACATCATATTAAAAATATTCTACAACACATTAAATTAGTATTACTTCTAGCAAGGAATAATTTTTAGTATTTCTCAAGCAATATTTTCTTTTATCTCAATGTATATATTCACAATCAGAAATTACTCAAATTTAACTGATTCCCTATATTATTATTAACTCTAGCAATTCTATCTCTGATATTTATGAAATTTCTCTTTTACCTCATTCTCTAATTACAGATATCTTCAGGAGTCAGTCAAATATTAACTCTAACATAAACAAGTCTTTCTGCATTTGCTTTCTACATAGAATCAGTAGATGAATATTTTTTGAATTGCAAACTTACTAAGGATTTGTTTTCTCCATTTTCCCATAATGCTTCATATCTACTAGATCTTCATTAAACATTTTGTGACTAAATGAATATTGGGACTAATCATTATGAGTTGCCAAGTTTACCAGTGTTATTGATGAAATAAAATAGGCTTTGTAGAAAGTTATTTTAAAGTTAAGTTAGTACGTTTCATATGGAACACTGCTTTCTGCTTGTTATTAAAGCATTTAATAAGATGAGAACACCATGTAAAATTAATAAGTACATCTATAGCAGAGGTTCTGCCAACAGAGAGTTAGGAAACCAAAACCACAGTGTTCCTACTCTGAAACTGTGGTTATCTATTAAAGACATTTGCATAGAGACTCAAATTCTAGAAGTTGAAATCCTAGGTTTAAGTAGAATTTAGGATAGTAATACTTTCTTCTCTTGGGTAAATCAAGATGAAATCTGTTATAAACAGAGTTTGAAGTATTTTTAAAGTTGATTTCTCTTTGAAGTCCAGCATGATTGACATCATAAACACCAGCAAAGGATTATGCTGCAGGAAGCTGCAATTAATATGGGTTAACACTTATAAACTTTGCCATGAGTCAGACATGTGCTAAGCAGCATCTACCACAGATAGAGCAGACTTACTGTTACATTGGAAAACTTCAATATGTTTCAAGTCTTTCATTATTTCAACTCCCACTTTGGACCTTCAAAAGATAAGACAAATTAGCCTGTCATTTGTCCACATAAATCAGGCAATAAAAATCACTAGATTGTAAATAAAGGATAGTTTTTAATTTTCTAGAAATGAAACTTATTTTTATTTATTGAATATTATAAATAAATTAGGGTTTTGGAAAACTTTCTATCCTACTAAGAGTACCTGAAGTCCAGGGCAGCTCTACTTAACTGCCACATGCAATCAGTATGTCCTATCATTTTACATTCAAAATATTTATCAAATCTGCAAGTTCACTATCTGTATCCATGTCACTTCAAGTTCATATACTGTTTTTAAAAATTACTATGTTCCTCCTATTGGCCAGCCTGTCTCAGTTTGATTCTACGTAAATTCTTCAACACAACTGCCAGAGCACCCTTTCCAATTGCAAATCTAACTGCATTATTGTTTAAACTCCTGTGTTGTCTCCCCATCACTTACTTTCAGAATCCAGCTTCTTAACATGCACATAGAGCTCTTATTGCAGGGCTCCTGTTTCCCTCTTTAGCCATGTTCCCTGCAGTGTTCACTTTCAGTTTTTCTTACATACCTGCTGTCTGAGGATTGTAAATTTGCTGAAGGAAGGTAGTACATTTGTCTTGCCTAGTGCCATATCCTTAATATCTATCCAACTTGCTGACAGAAAGTAGTGGTCATGCATGAATAAATGTATGCTGCATTTCTTTCCTCCAGTTGATGAAAGACTACCTGTCTCTTCCTGCTTCAGAGCTCTTACCTCTTCATCCACTTTGATTCATTCTGTTTCAAACTTGTGTTCGTGTGTGTGTAAGTAGAGACAGGCAGGAAGGACTAAGAGAACAGGGGATCATGTACCAGCTACAGCATATGCAATTACCCTATTCTCTAATATAGATGTCTCTTCAGGTCCAATCCCATGAAGGCAATATTTTTATCCTTACTGAGATTTGGGTGTGAGGATGGCTAGTGAGTAGGAAGAGGTTTGGTGAGTTGTACCATCTGAGATAAAAGGGAAGAAACAGAAACCCAACTGTGGTGTTTACTTATTTAGAAGTAAGAGACTATAGATCAGACACCCAAATTTGAAGATTCTAAAATGCATATTTTCCCATGATTTTGAAAGCTTAAAGGAAAAATCTCTAAGCTTGATTTTGAAAGCTGCTAAGAAAGTGATTGCTGGGACCCTAGCATTCCACTATGTCCTCAAGCTTAGGGAAAATAAATCCCCATGGGGACTAGGGGTAGACTTTCATAGAACGCAGAGGAAAAAGAAAGTAAATTGAGGTTTATGGAAAGTTAGCAAATGAACAAAAGACTCTGGAACTGATAAATGTCTCAGGGCTTAGCTCATAGTTCTGGGGTTTGTATTGATTAGTTACCTTTTGCAAAACCTCAAAGTCCTCTGATGGTTCATTCATGCAGGCACCCATGTTTGTTCAACCAAAAGCTTCCAAGAACTGTTAGGTCACACTTTGGGTGCAATGAAGAATGCCTCTACCTTGAGTAGTATATATGGAGGCATATCTTATCATGAGATCAACTAGAGATGTCCTGTAGGAGTTGGCTTTTAAAAAGTTGCTTAGGCTGAAGTGTAGAAGGTGGACAGTGAAGAAGCTGGCGCAGTAGTTTAGGTGAGGTCATTGTGGCTTGAACTTGGATAGTAGCACTAGATACAGAAAGAAATGATTGAAAGCAAAAGATACTTAACATGCAGAATCTATGGGATATAGTATGGGAGGTGATGGAACTCCACGTCTCATACACTTCCCAAGGAATCTTTTTGATGCAACATTTATGAGCACACAGAAACTTTCCATAGAACATATATTTCAAAACCTATGTCTGTAGTAAAATACATGACTGAATGGCATAGTGCTGTTGCCATAGAAAAGTATAGGCCATATCATATATATTCCATTTCTACCTGTGCATCCCCTTTTTCTTGAACATTTCAGTGAAAATGCAAACTGTAAAGTGAGTCAAGAACAGGACACCCCATGAAGACACCACCTGTTTGCCCAGAATCTTGAATAGAGAGGCATCTGAGAGGGTCATGCTCAATGTTGACATGGCCAATGTACTTCTTCTGTCTGGGGGTAGGGTGCCTTGCATGGTATTGAAAAATATACTCACATATGGAAAAGGCTTTTTTCCTTGGCAGTAAGATAGGATGTTTTTTGGTTCCTCGTAGACACATGGGTTAGGGCCTCACAGGGCATGTGTTGAGGCTTTACACAGTAGAAGACTTCATGTTCTCCACCGAACAGGTATTTGCATAGTTCAGCACTTGAGTGTAGGGTCAGACTACATTCAGAAAGGACTTGGGAAGTGCCATTAACAAATTTACCTTTGAAAATAATTATATCATGGACATCTTTCCTTGCCCTCCAGAGAGCTGATGCCCCTTCACTGGGATGGATGAGCAGGACAGACAGGGAGACCTGGCCCTCCCAGAACAGAGTGAAGCTGACAAGGTAGGTGCCATTGTTGAAGTCTGTCACCTTTCCTGATGCACCAGCCTTAAGGGATGGGGAGGACATCCTGGCCCTCAGGAAGTCCCCACCATATTCCTTCCTGCGTCCTAGGTGGTCCCTCACCTCCAGAAGGATGTCCAGCCGGTCCCCCCTGCAGTATGTAACTTGAGGGTTAAGGATGGTGGTTATGCTGTGGGCTGCACTAGTGGTGGTATTCACATGGGTGAAAGATCTGAGTGGGATCTGCTGGTCCAGTTTCTCCATAATCTCCCTGATTCTCAGCTCAGCCTCTGTTAGTGACTTTATCAGACTCATTGATGATGTGGGGCATGAAGACTTTGTGGAGGTGTTCCAATTTTGGAGGGAGATGGGTAAGTTTAGAGTCAACCAAAGCTGAAACGACAAGTAGGTGACATACTATGAAATCAACGTGTTCACAGTCATTTTTACTTATAATTAGTTTGAATGCTTATTTACATACTATCATCAATTTTGAATAAAATGTACACATTTATGTTTTTACTCCAGTAGTTTAGAGAATGCTTGAACAGTTATAGATAAATATAATCAATCTAAAAAACACCTTAGAGAATACATATGAGTAATAGAATGATGCTGGTATATTTGCTTTTCCCTTATCTGTACACCTCACATCCAATAACCAATTTCTATTCTGACTCTGCATCTCTTTTACTTATGTCTAATAATCTTTCCATTTCCACATATCATAGGACAAGCCACCATCATTTATCCCCTTAGATTGTGGTAGTCACTTTAAAGGTAAAGATGGTCTTCAGACTTCACAAGGATAGTCCTGCTCTTCCCATTTACTTTTCTCCACTGTGGCTAAGCCAGACCTTCAAAATAAATCTATATCTTAATAGATTAAAGGAAACATTGCATGATTTTTCACTGTTTTCACCTTCTCTGACTGGAGATTATAGTTGTCAAAAATATTTTATATATTTCAAATTTTTTATTATTAAAATTCAGCAAATAGAAAACCTTAAACATTTTCAAAGTCAGGAAGAAGACAAGAAGGCTAGCTGCCATCAACTGAACAGATTAGAAGTCTTGAACAATAAAATTAAAGAAATACACAAAATAATGAGGTATGAGAATTACAAACTATGTTTATTTTTCTTCTTTTCTGTATTTTTCGGTAGATCTTGTGATTGTCTACAAAGAAAATCAGAGTTAGGAAATGATACTCTTAAGTGAAATAAATAGGACACACATGTGTAAATACTGAATAGTTTCTCTGGTGTGAGAAACTGAAAATGTAAATAAGGACCAAAAGGTATAATAGATAATGTGAAATAGGAAGAAAAGGGGCAAAGGGGAAGGGGAGGTGGGAGGGGTAGGGGAAAGGAAAGAAGGGAATGGAATTAATATGAGAAAATGAAAAAATGGAAACAAAGTCTTTGTAAATAGGGATGGGTGGAGGGGTTGAAGGGAGAGCAGGGGAATGGGGAAAATATTAGAACTGAGAGAGATTATGTAAAGGTACAAATTTTCAATGATGAATGTCATTATATTGTATACCTAAAATGTACCAATAAAATTAATAATAAAGGAGATCCAGCTAGGGGCTGAATACAAGATAAACTTATAAAATCAATAATATGTACTGACACTACTAATAATTACTAGAAAATGCAATAGGAGATAAGCTCTGATCTTGATGAAGGCACATGGTAAGAAAATCATGCTATCAGATAACAAAAAATAATTTGTTTAGAAATCATAGAAAAATGAAAAGACAGTGTCAAACTAGATTTGTCTGATCAAGGAATATGTACACGTGGATAAGTGAAAAGTACTTATTTAATGACACAGAAGATGTTGGCCTTGACAAGAGCCATGAAGGGTTACATAGGAGGTAGACTTCTAATTAGTAGATGGATTGTGGGTAAATGGGAAATGAGGAAATGGAAACAGTGTTCACAGCCCTTCTGAAACAAGGTAGAGAAGGGGAAAGAGCAGAGTTGGAGTAGGAGAAGAAGGGGCAGAATTGAGTAATGATTTCTGACTTGATATAGGTCAAACAGATGAAGGCTTCAAATCAAACTGGAGAAAACTATTCCTACCTTTGTGGAATTTTGAGAAATTGCAAAAATTATCCAGGTAACTATTAAAAAAGATGCCAAGATCAGCAGTGCTTTTTGAAGCTTCGTATTTGAGAACATGATGAGTGCCCTACAAAAGAAAACAAGCAAAGAAATAATGTGAGAAGTGAGTCCCTCTGTACTTATTGTTTCATTCTGAACCTGTAATATGTCTCTGAGACTTTTTTCCTCCTGAATTACTCTACACAAAAGGAAAGAAGGGATTCAGCAGTGTTACTGCACGAGAAAGGGGAAAGAGAGGAAAAGATGGTGAGAGAGAGAGAGAGACTGGGAGAAGCAGAGTCCTGAAGAAAGGTAAGATTGATCCTGTGTTTTAAAAAGCTTACTTTACTCCTCTGTTCCTTGTCAAATCCTCAGTGAAGTCTAGATTGTGTGGAAATTTAAAATGGAGGGGCAGTTTAAAGCTGGTTAACTTTTGGAAAGTCCCAGATGATATTGTTTTCACCAATATGCAGTATATAATTGCAATTCATACTAAATTACCCTTGTCAAACCATGATTTCCAATTACTAAAGCATGGTGTAGGAGAGGTATTGCGTTTTGGGTCCACATTGGTATTGGATGAAATCCATGGATTCAGGCAAAAGAACAAGGGAGCAACTCCAATCTGTCACTCAGTAAATTGCCATTGTTTACTTACTTTCTGATCAATAAAAATTTGATCACTAAAGAATTAGAATAAATGGTTTTTAGCTGGTGTTCATGAAAAGAGTGAGTAATTAAACTGTGCCGTTAATGAAAGGAAATCCTATCTAACAAAGAACATTTCTTTGCAGAGCTGTATCATATACTTTGGGCCCTCTGCTGGAAAAGTAGAATCAAGTCTGAAATAATGCCTTTTTAATTGTATCCTCTAGTATTACAGATGTAGGACAGTACTGTATCATACCTCTGTGAATATAAAATATCTTGTACCTGTTCTATGATACGTAGTAGTGACTATGCTTTATCAGAGCTGTTTTTAATGATGTTACTGTAAATGTTTTCTTTCTAGATGATGATTAAGAAGCTAATAAAAGAAATGGTGCCAGGTACCACAACAGTAACAGAAAAAATAAAAGAATTAGAATAATATCTGAGGATTGTTTTCTTGATGCCCAGTGCAGTGACTGACAAACAGTATTTTAAAAAACAGAATGCTGCTTTTCAGATCAATGTCAAATTCTATCACTGAAATTTTGTATTATTTCAGAATGTACAAATACTAGTATATTCAAAAGGACAAAATATCAGAGGCAAAACTAACCCAGGTGTTCTGATTTTTGAATTAATTTTATAATGTGTAAGTATAATGTCTGATCTGATTCATTTTTCCTTCTCTGGAAAACATCATATATAGATGTTTCAGTAACCACACACACACACACACAAACCAAGCGTGATTACCATTGTGCCTTTATGAATCTTAGATTCTCAACTTCCTTATAATAAATTTTTAAGCTTATCTGCTTATTCACTTATTTTGTAAAAAATGAATACTCACCCAAAATATGTCTGGTTTCATATAATATTCTGGAGATAAAGAAAATCAAAATGAATGAAATAGACATTTATGAGGATTAGAATATGGTAGTAGAAACACCATTTTCTTGGTGTGTATATGTTCCTGTACTTCTGAATCATCAGCTGCACCCTTCAGCCTGAAATTCTCATCATTCCTTTCCTTACTACCATGACATCCTCTGATCCCCACCAAGCTCACTGGTAAATCCTAAAGTTCTTATTCATGGTTTGAGTCTGCGCTTGAGATCTACCTGTTCTTTCCTCAATCATTTTAATTAATGTATTCCTCTGTGTTCCTGTAGTCTAATGCATAATACTTTTGTTATAACAGATGCTACAGTTTGTTATATTGCCTTAGGTTTCTGCTTCTTCATTAGATAGGTGAACTTCTAGAGAAGATACCATCATCCAAGAGGACAATAATTTCAGGCTGGAACCATTTACTTTATATACTGATATGTGTTCCACAAGATCTGGGTCCTGACAATTAACTAATTCTCTTATTATATCCCTGATCTAACATTTGGACTGATATATTATAAACTAGTGAGAGTTGGCTCCTTTGAGAGTGGCCAAAGTATTTCTTTGTAAGAAGGAATTTTATTATTGGCAGGGTCTTGAAAATTTATTAACTCTCAGTAGTATAATAATTTTGAATCTGTTTTCTACTTGGAAAATTTAATCAAGATCACCTTTGTCTAAACAAAATATAACTGCAGTTCATAATTTTTCTTGGAGCCTCATGGCAGATAATACCTTTTTTCCTAAATCAGTGTCTGACCCAGATTCTGCTATTGAGCTTGAACTCTGCCTATCCAAATGTCTGCAGGGTGTCTCTACTTGGAAATCTTCATAGGCAGAGATGTGCTTGACCTGGCTTATATTGGCTAATGAGAGCCTATTATGCACATCTCTTCTTAGTGGAAATAGGGCATCATGGACATATGTGCATCGTGGAAATCAGCAAAGGATGCAAACAGGTCATTTTCTTGAAGAGCAGATTTATCAATACACTCCTGCTAATAGGTTCTTAAAGTCAACCTATTCAATTAGAATATTTTTTTCTTCAGAGTTCTCTACTTTTTTCTTTTCAACCAGGTATCACCAGTCAGAATCCTGGTCACTGTCTCTGACATGTTTGTCTGCCATGATCATATCCTGTTACCTTCAGACATGATTGGTGAAGTGCAGAGATTGCTACTGTTGTCCCTTCCTCCACTAGAAATAAGTAGCAGGTGGGGGTGTCCAGTTATACTACTTTTCCTGGACTCCATGGTGGTTGGCCTTGGCCACAGTACTTCATTATTTGAAATGGAGTATAAACAGATGCAACATGTGCTGCATTTCCTCCAGACTTGCTTTCTTCTTCCTAGCTGCTGCAAACTAAATATGGGAGCAACCTCATGTTGACCACAGACATGATGACCAAATCCTAGAACAGGAGATTTTTAAAACTTCTTCATTAAATAGGCCCTTTATTACCTTTATTACAGGTTTCATCTGATGAAACCTTTGAACCTCTTCTCCAAATAATGTTTTCAAATGTATAAAACAACATATACAGATAACAAAAATCAGTCTTGCTGAGGCATAGTAATCAACATTTCAAATAACCCAGTTTGTCATGTAGTTATATAGCAATTCTTTATTACCAAATGAAATAACAAAATTTAGCAATATTTACAATAATTCTAGAGCATTGATAGATATGAATGGTATTTTGAGAATCTTTAATAACTGTGTTGTGATGTAAAAATATCTGTGATTTCAAATTGTTGACTCAGACACAGGTATCGGTAGAACCATTATGATTTATTGTTACTATTCATGGTTGATGAGATTGCTAAACTTCTCTTAAAGGCTAGTGAAAATAAAAATGTATTTTTCCCCATTCATATTCAGAGATGTCCTCATTCTGTCCGTAGGCTTATTTGGGGTACATCAGTCCAAAGTCATGGCTAGAGGCAGAGGATGGTAGAGCTTCCAAGATTCCTGGCTTCCTAGATGATCTCAAGAGGCCAAAACTAACTGGACTTATGTGTAAGAGAAATGCACACCGATCTTGTTCTTCGTTTGAATCATCACACTTGGAGTATTTCTCCCTCTCACAGTCATTTTTCCTGTTTATAACCACATAGTAAGTATCTCTTTAATTTGTGGACCTTTTTCTGTCATCACTATTGCTGCCTGGTACATGTATTTCCAATGTATTGCTTACAAATTTCTTTAGTTTAGAAATGCTTTATTATGGCATAATTTACATGCAATAAAAATGTATGGATTTTAATTATAGTTTTACGAGTGTTGATAAATGCATACACCTGTGTAGGCACAACAGTCAACCTAAAATATTATGCCTCTTGTGCTTCTGGTCCCAGATAATCACAGGTCTGTTTCAGGACACTGTAGATTAATTTGGTTTTCTAAGGGATTCATATAAATGGAATTATATAGAATGCATTCTTTGTTTCTGGCTTCTTTGATTCATTGTGATGGTTTTGAGGATTCATCTGTGTCATTGCCTTTATCAGTGTTCTGTTTCTTTTCATTATTGAATACAATTACATTTTGTAGATGTACCAAATATTTTTTCTATTTATAATTTTATTAACATTTTAGTGCTTCAAGTTTGGAGCTATTGTGAATAGAGTTGTTAGTAAGTACCTATACATATTATAGTTCTCTACATAGAAAAAGATTTTCATTTCATTTGGGTAAATACTCAAGAGTGGAATGACTGGTCAGTAGATGTTTAACTTTTGATACACAAAATCCTTTTGGACTTTATTACTCTTAGTCTCCAGATGCATTTGGAGAGAATTGTTCTGGTAACAACATTGGCCTTCCAATTCATGTATACAGTTTAAATCTGTTTGAACTTGTAAAGACTTGGCTTTATTTAATGGGTGGGTCTTGAGAAGTGCAGGCTTTGTACCCACACTCTCTACTTTATTGACACTTTAACTAGAAACTCTCTCTGTACAGTGGGTAACTCATGAGCTTACCTACTCAGTTATGTCAGGCTTCCTCATTTTTTGTGAGGTTCTGTAAAGTGTTCTTGTGCACATGTAGCTCAGGGGTCAATAAGAATTCAACCAGATTCTGGGGCTTTTTTTTTTTTCCTGAGGTTTTCTTTTTTCTGGGATTTCCTTGCTCTTTTATCAGCCACTCTGACTTCTTTGAACTCTATCATATGAAACCTCCAGTTCACAAGTCTGCAGTTTTGTGCTTGAATTTCAGTTGCCCTGCACAGTGGACAATGAGGCTAGTTGTCCAGGAAAAGCTCTGAAAGTGTAGCTCTGACCACTGTGATCCTCTTCTTTTGAGGCTCCAGCACCTTCCAATGTCTGCCAGAGTTTGACCTTTCTCTTTGAAAAAAATATAATAAATATATATATTTAATAAATATACATATATATTTAATACTGTTATCTGGAAAATGTTAGTCTCATATAAACAATTGTGAAATTTTTTGCAATTTTATCACTTATCATTCATATGTCTATGTAATTTATTTGGTTTTGTCCTACCTGTTGTCTGTTACATTTTCTCCCTTTTTGTTCTTTTGTATTAATCAAACAATTTTAAATTATTCTATCCCATCACTTAGCTTGTAAGTCATACAGTCTTGCTTAGTAATTTCTACTGTGTTTTACAAACTTAAATATGCATCTTTGACCTAATATTTGTCTAATACAAATTTATACTTTGAATTTATGGAAAATAAAAGACTACAAAACTACTCCAACTATTTTTAAGTTCCTCATGTTTTCTGTTGTTGTTAGTATTGTCAGATATTTTAATTCTGGAACAATGTTAGTAGTAGTATTAACATAATTACTCTATTTATATAATCATTATTCATTTAAATGGTACACTTTCCCCTTTTTTCATTCTTACTTCCATTTCTGTACTGTCATTTGGAGCATTTTTATTCTGCTTGATAAATTATCTTCAATATACTGTAATTATAGGACTCGACCAGAGGCCGAAGACGGGATCTGACAAGATGGCCGGGCTGCCCCACAGGATCATCAAGGAAACTCAGCGTTTGCTGGCAGAACCAGTTCCTGGCATTAAAGCGGAACCAGATGAGAGCAACG